CAGGATGCTTGGTAGCAGCGAGAAGGGGATCAATTGCATGCGCCGCAGATACTCATGCTTATTCGTTGCTTGAAGTGGAACATCAACAAAAAATACCCCTGTTCCCTATATCATCGTCAAATGAGATCTTCGAGTCTGGCCATGTAGAAGAGATGCAAACGGCGCTACCTGTCCCCTCGAGGACTTCGTCATCGCCTAATCCCAATTCTTCTCCCGTGGAAGGCCAGCATGACCAGAGTTTGGGCTCCCCATCGATTTTACAGGATCGATCAAGCTCGGTTACGCCAGAGCCATTTTCGACTACTGATACACCGCGGCGGTCAAACTCGCAGGATCGAGATGGAAATTCGGAAGACGCAACACAAAATCCACAGTTGAACATTGCCGATAAGAAGCCACTGCCACCTTTGCCAAAACCGCTACCGACGCGCCTGAAACCGCATGTGGTGTCAGCGAGTGCTAATGAATTCTTGCTGGTCACGGGAACCGCAGAGAAGGAGCCTGGTGTTGGAATGTTTGTCAATATGGACGGTGATATGGAGCGTAGCACAATCAACTTTGACAGGTACCCTGAATCGGTTGCTATCGACACGAGGGATCAAGATGATCCTATCCAGTCTGTTGGAGATGGCAAAGAAGAACGCATTATTGCTGTCTTAGAATATGGTAAAGATGGGAAACTATGCAAGCGTTTGGAAGTGCAACGGTTGGACATCGACCCTAGCGAAGCCGAGAAACAAAAAAGATGGGTAGAAATACCCTTGGACCGAGACTCGAAATCCGTTCAGGTTGGCCTTCGCCATACAATCAGTTCTAGCCAGCTTGAAATCTCTGAGATGGGAGGCTTGCTGCGCATGGTGCGCCTTAAAACACCGTCACTTTTGCCCTATATTCCTGCAACAGACCCAAGAACTCAAGCATCCATAGAGCAATTGCAAAAGGAGAAAGAGCTATTTGAGTCCCAAGAGTTAACTGACTCTGAAGGGTTAAGGAAGGGTGATAGCTCATCAGAGCGCGACTGGGAAGCCGAGCGCAATGCAGAAGAGGCCCGGTTTGCCCGTGGACTCGGTAGGGGCGAAAGTAGCCTTGTTATGTGGGCTGGGAGCCGCATCTGGCGAATAATGAGGAATCCCTTGACCGTCCAGCTGGATGATGTCTTGCAAAAGGCGCAGGTGACCGATGATGATAGTCGTCAAATCATAGACAGGAGTTCTATCATGGATACCATTCAATCGGCCCAGAATATCGAGCCTGCATCTGAGGGCGACTTTCTTGGTCTGAGTTATGTAAAACAAAAGGCGAGTCTAATGCTACTTGGGGATCTTGTCTTCATGGACCAGGCAAGCAGGAATGACTCTGTCATTGGGGCAACAGAAAAAGCACTTGTGGATGGAAATTTAGATCCTCGTATGGTTTTGATATTGATTCCATTACTACGGAAAGAAGTTTTGCAGGGGCCCCAGGGGATCTGGATCCAAGCAGGCCTAGCAGTGATTGCAGACAAATACATACGGGAGTCCGAAGAGACCGAAGATAACTCAAGGACTGGTGCGGCTGATAGCAGTGTCCTGGAGATGGTTAAACGTTTTCTATTATCATGGCAGCAGAAGAGAGGTTACGGAAGTATCACGGATGAGACGTACGTCTTTGACAGCGTCGATGCCGCACTTCTACATCTGCTTTTGGAACAGGATTCGGTTTTGACGGCGGAACAACGAGCATCATCTCCCATTCGGGCGGAACTTAATCGACTGGTGGACAATTGGAAGGGTAGCTTTGACCGGGCGGTGGACTTGCTAGAGAGCTATCACCGGCTATTTATCCTAAGCCGCCTATACCAGAGCCAGAAGATGTCCCGAAATGTGCTGAAGACGTGGCGGAGGATCATAGAAGGGGAGCAAGATATTGGCGGAGAAATGACACCATCTGGCGCTGAACTGCAAATGCGCCGGTATCTGGTCAAGATCAAAGACGCACAATTAGTGGAAGAGTATGGTTCTTGGCTGGCTGGGCGTAACCCTAAGCTTGGTATCCAGGTCTTTGCAGACGGCACGAGCAGAGTCAAACTGGAGCCTGCAGATGTGGTTGGAATGCTCAAAGAGCAGGCACCTAATGCAGTCCAGGCATATTTGGAACATCTCGTTTTTTTCAAGAACGTAAGTTTGCCTTTCTTCATGAGAAGGACAGCAGTTCACTGATAATTACTTCAGTACTTCCAATACGCGGATGACCTTGTTTCATACTATCTGGATACAGTACTCTCTGTTCTCCAGTCTTCGCCCGAAGCTCGAGTATCACTTTCCGAGTCGTATTCGACATATCGTGCGCTACGACACCCTAAGCCAACGTACATGAGTTTTATCACGGCCAACATACCATCTGAACCATGGTGGCAGACGAGACTGCGACTTCTGCAACTTCTTGGTGGTGGAAGCAGCACCCAGTTCTCGTCGATTTCACCCGCACCATCCAGTCTTTCCTATTCTATCCCTGCAGTTCTTGCTCGAATCGAGCCTTTTCAGGATGAATTAGTCTCCGAGAGCATCATCCTAGATGGTCTGCAGGGACGCCATCGGGAAGCCCTCCGACTTCTAACGCACGGTCTGGGTGATTATGACTCAGCTGTCCGTTACTGTCTTTTCGGAGGACCCCGTAGCACCAGTTCTACAGGGGCACTGACAGAATTCGCAGAACGACCACTGCAGACCGAATTATTCCGCCATCTCCTAGACGAGTTTTTGCGAATTCAGGATCCAACCGACTGCCTTGAACGGACGACTGATTTGCTATCCCGGTTCTCTTCCTGGTTCGATGTGCGCGAAGTATTAGAACTCGTTCCTGATGATTGGAGCGTCGAGATCATGAGCGGGTTCCTGGGGCGTGTCTTCCGGGTCTTGATGTCGCAGACGCGCGAGGTGAAGATTGAACGGGCTCTCAGTGCGGGCTTGAATTTGCGAGTCGGTGCGGATTATATCGAAGGAATGGAAAAAACAGCAGGGTGGATTGAAGATGACGGGGGGGTGCGAGGGATACGTGAAATAGGTCAAAGAAATGAAAAGCAAGTGCCCGAGCAGGTGGAAGGAAGTGATTTCGGGGATATGGTGGATGGCGCGAATGATAACGACAATGTTTTGGCTTGAATGTGATATGTGATACCAAATGTATATTCTTAACTCTAGCGATCGCTCTGCAAATGAAATACATAACAGTACAATGAGTCTAGATCTAATCCATAGGCAAAACTGACTCGGATACATGGTTTTAAATCCAGAGCTCATATTCCATACACCAACCATACTCCGTGCATGCATATGAGAGAAGTCAGAAAATGCCCTCACCATGTGCCCAACTAGCATCCAGTTTTATGTAGCATACGCCGCATGTCCCGGCGATGTCTTCATTGCAGGCACACATTCTCATCGTGGCGGTCACTAGTATGGGAGATTGACGGTTCTAGAACTTGTGATCCTGATGTTGTCACTGCAAGCCCCGACACTATACTGACTGGATGCTGAACAAACTGGCTAAAGAGAAAGAGGCTGATGATCCACAAAGCCATGAATATCTGAATAGGAGAGAACATGCGCTTGGTGTGTGCTTTGTATCGTTTTGAGCTTTATTGTAACCTTCTTAGCATCGGTCATTACGAATTTGACCGCCAGGGAGATTAAGATCTCGCAACATGGATGCCTGGGGAATATTTTTATGCATATATGAGCCTTGGGAGGTTGAGGAGATTTCCCCTGCGTCTATAGTTTCTCTAAGAATGTGACGGTCTGGTCACGTTGGCTGGGTATCACGTGAGGTGCAGTTGTTTGCTTTGTTGCTTTGTTGATAAATACGGCGTTACCTCCTCTCTTCCTTCCTCATGTTAATTATCCTCGTAGATAGCTACCTAGGTAGAACCCATGAGTTGGATGCTCCATTATCCTAGTAGAGCGCCGTGACAAAGAAGGTATCTGGCCAAATTCTCAATGATATCTGTGGGGATTTACAGTTCAAAATTGTCAGCTTTGATAGCCAGAGTCAGTTTTCTCTTCCTGTATTTTATAGTAAAGCATCTGATTGTTTTGAGTACAATAGAACAACCGCTTAATCAAATTATAGTGACCAGGGACTTATACCTAAAGGGAACAACCTCCCGCGGGTTTGAGCTGTTGCATTATGTCCTCTTCAAGACCAAGGACCACACACACCTGATATCAACAATGCAAGAGCAACTTTCAATGCCTTAATCCATTCATCTTGCACATGCCTTAAATAATACACCACCACCACAGTCATTGAAGTTTAGACAGCACCCACCCCCCAGATTGGGACTTGAAGCGACAACGACGTGACCCATTTCCATTTCAGGGTAATCATGAAGAGTGTCCAACGCTGGCCTGGGCCCTGATATGGCGAGGAGCCTGCAGCAACATGTTTGGATGGTACATAGATGATGATATTTGCTTCTGGGAATAGATTATTTGTGGGAGGCAGCTTGACTTGAACGCACAGGTGCAAGGGAAGTATTGATCCAGCAGTGGCAGGCGCATTGGAGAGATTGAGTTCCAAGAGGTAGTGACTTGTAACAGGGCTGGGGAATCATCATCACAGCTGTACATTATTCTTCAAGCATATCACTATTTCTAATTGTATCTAATTCTCTTATCAAGGCACTCGCCGAGACTCTATATCAATAGATCCTTTAGTCCAATTCAAAACCTACGCATAAGCATCTGCTTGCCCTAAGTCCGTTATTTACAGTACATATATTATGGATATGCACCGTATTATTTGATAGTACAGGTTGAAAGGATTCGGGTCATATCAGCGCCAACAATCTTGTTGGATAATGTAATCACTGACGCTACGACATTAGGGCTATCAGAAAATGTATATTGCGTTTCTTTGTACCCTAACTATTTGATTACTTATGCTACTTGGCAACGATCACTGTTCTTCGTGGAAAATGCTGAAGATACCATTGTTGTTTTAACTACTATACAAAACAGGGCTTAATCTAAATCCGGCACAGGTAACCCGTTAACAATCTTAACCTTCCTCCCCAACTTATCCAACGCCTCCTTCGAATTCCTCGCCCGTAAGTCACCCGTCTCGGTATCAGAAACCAACACAAAATCATACGTCAACAACGCATGATCCTCGGAAACCCCATACTTCCTTGCATACTCCGGCCCCGCCCGCCCAATATCAACAACTAACGAATTCTTCACCCCAAAAACTGCATCCGACGTCTCATACGGATCATTCCGCAAATACAACGCCGTAATCAAATGATCATAGCCCTCCTTCTCGAACATGAAATGCATATGCGACGGCCGGTACGGATGCCGATGCAACTTCTTCAACAACTTGCCCACAGGCCCGTCGTGCGGAATCGGATACGGTACGGGCGTAATCGCATGGAACCAGAATACTCCGTCCTCGCCGCTGTGCATGTAACATCGGCCGTCGGGCTTGTCGCGGCCGGGGTACTGCACGTCGTAGTGGCCCGTGGAGTCTGTTTCCCAGATGTCGATTTTGACGTTGGGGATTGGGCGGCCGGCTGTGTCTTTGAGTGTGCAGACAACGAGGAGGGGCTCACCCTTTGGGTCGTGGGACATGGAAGCGCCGGTGGTGATTTCTTCAGCGTCGTGCGTGTGGAAGGGACCGAGGACGGTGCCTTCGGTTGAGCCGGGGGGTTTGGGGTGGTCGATGCTGTCGACTAGGAGGGAAAGGCCAAGGACGTCGCTGAGGAGGATGAATTCCTGTAATAGTTAGCTTCTTTATTCGTTCATGTACTAGAGCTAGGGGAACACACCTGTCGCACATCAGTACAGATCTTCCCTACCTCTGTGAGGAAGAGCAAGCCGGTCATCCATTCCTGGGTGCTGAGCCTGGTCTCGCGTGCGAAATCGTGCAGGTGCGTGACCAGGCGTTCGAGGACGTATTTCATGCGCTCATCCTCGCATAGGGAGTTAATCGTGTGGACGTTCTGGGTGATGTTGTCCGCCGTTAAGTCTTTCATAGGCGGAATCTTGACTTGTGAGGGGTCCATCTTGTCAAATTGATACACAAGTAGATGTCTTTTCTGATACAGAGTACGAAGTAAAAGGATAATATAAAACAAAAGACAGTAAATCCCTTTATGAATTCAATTGCTTGCCATCTCCCCGCAATCCCCGCCAATTGCGGATTACATATCGGTCAGTCATCGCAAGTGAGAGTTACCAAGATGGAGATGCGGGTTTACGGATTAAGCATGGCAGCCAATCAGCGATGGGCGATTCTAAGGACTCGGAGAATTCCCCATGACTCAGCAGAGGAATTGTTTCCGCTCGGCATTGACGGGTACATCTTTAGCCGGTCTGCATTATTATATTATCGTATCAAGAACTATATACAGTTGTAGTATATCGCAATCATAACTTCCACATAGTCTCCCTCGGCGCCTCCGCCGACAGCACAGGAACCAACCCGGGATCTCCCTTCTCCATAGCCCTCCTAAAACCCTCCCTCTCCCCAATTCTTTCCAAATACCTCACGATATTCGGATACTCCTCGAGCCCATATGGGATGAACAAGCGTCCCGTCGTCAATGAAAAAACAGTAACGCAATCTGCTGCCGTAAACTCGTCCCCAGCTAAATACCTAAACCTCCCCAACTGCTTCTCCATCGCTTCAAAATTGACCCGCAGCCGTCTCTGCATCACTTGCGACACGCGGTCCTCGTCGCTGCCGCCTCGCAGCTTATTGTACATGACTGACATGAGCGCGGGCTGGAAGGATCCGTTTGCGCGGTGCAGCCAGAAGACATAATCTGCGTATTGAGGGTGGTCTGGGGGGTAGGAGAGACGGCCGTGGGCGTATTTAGTGAGGATGTATTCGAAGATGGCGCCTGTTTCGGCAAGGATGATGCTGCCATTGTCGTCTGTGATTATGGGGGCTGTGCCGGCCCAGTGAAGGGAGCGGTAAGATTCTGGGGCTTGCAGGGTTGGGGCGCGGTCGTGGCAGACTAGGGTGTAAGGGAGGTTGAGTTCTTCACAGAGCCAGATGACTCGTTCAGACTGGGAGCGGCGGAGGTGGTGGATTGTGAGGCCGGACATTGTGAGGGTCAATTGAATTGGTGAGGTAGTTGATGAATGGAGTACTGCTATCTAATATAACCATGGGACACTGAACTGACTTAAGTATTGGCAATCTCGGTCTGATTAGCTCATTTAAAGTACGGATCTCCTACTCCTTTAGTGATTGACGTCATGCAATGAGATTTATGAAAGCTAATGCATGTTTTTATGTGTATACCTCGGGTCATGCCTGGGAATAAACGTAACCTCTGGTATGACCTCCAAATCTCGAGGCACCTGATTAGAAATTAGCTGGGCTTCATTTATGGTATGATGCTAAGCCTTTCGGTAACCGGGAACCGGCAACACTTTATTTCCACTTCTGTATCCCAAGATAAAAGTTATGCAAAGTTCTGAAGAAGCCTAGCATTGTGTGGATGTCATCAAGCATATACTCTTCGTATATCATTAAAAATTGCTCAACAAAGGGATATCCGCTAATCGCTAACCAAGAAGACAAAAAAGACCAAATCCCCCAGACCCAAAGAAAAGAAAATAGTATATATACAGAGAATATACCTATGCTTCATGTTTATGCTTTCACCATCTTATGTTCTCGTTCTCGTTCTCGCTCTCGCTCCCGCTCCCGCTCCCGCTCCCGATCTTGAGACACATCACTCTTCCCGTCTGGCGTGGGACCAGGTGCCGCCCCCCGGCTGTGGTGGTCCACCGTATCCCAAATTGCCTGCATCAGACGTTGATTGGCATCCGGGTCATCGTCATCGGGGGCATCGCGGCGGTGGAGACTAACTCTCCGGTCATGATTTGGTGCGGCGGCGCCATGGATTTCACTCATTGCTCGTCGTGGAGAAGGATCTGGACCCATTATTGGACCTGATGATCCATGTGCCGTCGTGGGAGCCGATTCTCTGCGTACGTTGGAGTTCTGGTTCCTCGCGGACTCGTAATCGGCCGCTAATAATGTGATCGGAGCAGGAGTAGGAATAGAAGCAGGGATCGGAGCAGCAGGAGCCGAAGTATTAGTGGAAGCGGGAAGCGGGGCCGTGGGTGAAGATACAGAGGTTGACTCTTTGCGAGGTTTGGAGGGCTCGTCCGCCGAGACTTCGCGGGGAGGACGCTCGGATCGAGTCTCCTGGAGCTCCTCCTCCTTAACATCCTTCCAAGAGCACTTGGCATGCTTCTTCGTGCAGCCCATGCAGGCAGTGAGGTTCTTCAAACAGTCCATGTGAAGACGGCGACAACGATCGCAGGGAGGCATGATACGTTCGCCTCGTTGAAGCTCCTCCATGCGCGTTACCATCTCTATCTTGAACGGACCACCGTCATCCTTCTCGGATTGGTTGGACTTTGGTGGAGGTAATAATGAGGAGGGAGTGTTCGGGATGGCGACCGTCGCTGGAGATGGGTTGTAGAGACCATTGTAGTCGCTGGCGTCCGAGGGTCTGGGTCGTGGGCGCGAAGAAGATTGTCGACTCATTTGCGTCGCAGCAGGTGGGTCCTCGTAACCACGGGCTTGGCGGTCTGCAGTAGTGAAGAATTTCTTCATGAGTTCAGCGCGCGTTGTCGGAGATGCACCCTTGATGGAGGTTCCGTTGATGATGGTGATATTCTCAGTGTTGGAATGCGAGAACATAAACGGCGAAGGTAGGTGGCCGTCTTCTGCTGCTAGAGCTGGTTCTGCGCGACTGTTATGGGCATTGACGGCGACAAACCCAGTAGATGGCGAGTGTGGGTTGGCTGGGCCCTGGCCGTTGGCTTCACGCCAGACAGGACTCAACGAGCGGGGTATATGTAAATTTGCATCATTCTCACGACGGGCAATGATTGCAGTTCGGCGGTTCTTGAGGCGGTGATTGAGTTGTCGTGCTCGAGCAGAGACTGCAAAGTTAGTTTACCTCGTTCACAGCCCAGAAAGAAAAAGTACACACCTTGATCAGCAACCGAAACAATCTGCTGCAAGTTCTTTTCTAAAATCTCCAAAGCGCCAAGCTCTTTCTCCTCATCCTCGATGATCGGCTGTGGAGGGATCATCTTCTGGGGCATGCCCGATGCGATCAACACAAAGTCCTCCTCGCTGATCTCAATGCGACATTGCTTAGTGTAGAATTGGCAAACACGGACTCCATTCCGAGTCTTCTCCAGGTTGAACTGCTCAGGTTTGTTCTTGGCGAACTCCACAACATCAAGCCAAGTGATAGCGTTGGGATCCTTGCCGTGTGACTTGAGAACGCGCGGCGGTCCGTCAAACAAACGCTCAAACCGCTTAATCAAGATGGGTCCTAATGGACACGCGCCCAGGTTACCGGCGATACTCTCGTGACGCTGCAGGACTCCGTCATACTCGCCGATTAAGTGCAGAATGGCGGACATGTTATCATCGACGGCGACGAGGGGCAGGTTATCCGGGTACTGCCGCGCGAGGTAATTGATCTGGAGGTGATTCGAGACGGTCTTTGGAATTTTAGATGCGATGGGAGGGAAGTCACCCGAAGGTGATCGAGGCCGTTTACTGGCACTGGCCGGTGCCGGTTCTGTTGGCGCTGGTCTTGATTCCATTGCGACGGCAATTTCTCTTCTTATCTCAACACCCTGAAAACAAAGAATATAAATCCGGCGACAGAGAACGAACTCTCTAGCCGCAAAGGTCAAATAGCCGGAGAATAGGAGAAAAAGCCTCAGGGGTAGAGTTGGCTGATAGGCGGCGATAGCGAGGGCCACCTGAACAACAAAAGCACGTAATTCGGGGTGATTGACGGGCCACGACAGAGCGGGTAAACTGTCACCAAGTGAACAACACAGAGCAATAGATAGCGAGCGGTAGGGTGCAGGAGTAGTAAAGGGTAAGGGTGGAAGGAGGAACAAAGAACGAAAAAGACAACAGAAAGAAAGCGTGGGAGGAGGGAGGAGAGGAGTGAGGGCGGAAGATTCAGTGTGACGGGGCCGACAGGGATACAGCGGAGTCCCGCCGGGCGATTCCGCTGGCCAGTCGGTGGGGACCGGAGTTACGAGGCCTCGGGGGGATTATTCCTAGGCAGCATGGTTGTAATCCGTAGATTGTTCTGAAACAGTGCAATTTAATCCTAACCTAGTGAATACTCTGTGGTAGTCTGTATGTCCATACTGTGGGAGTATGTCAATGCTTTTAGTGCGTGCGATGGGATCCAAACATTGCTGCCTCAGGTATGACTCCACCCGCCAATCATCACCCGCCGTTCCTCCCGGCCGGTCCAGCCTCTCCGGTGACCGGGACGCCTTGCTGGATCCGGGCGAGTCCTGCCGGTATCATTACCGTATTCTGACACCCCGTGTTGGACTTCCGCCTGCATCGTAACCAATTAAGCACCATACAACAAGGTACTTCCAAGTCAAATGACTGTCCGTGCTTTACAATACCATTACACACGCACAAACACAGGCACAAGCCACGAGCGCCGAATCTCTGCGAACCAACCAACCCCTCTCTGAAAATCCCTCATACAGTTCCCTCTCACAACGGCTCCTCTTTGTTCTACTTTGGGAGTTTGACCTGATTACGCATACCCTTAATACCAACAGCCAACTCTATTGCTCCGGTCTCCAACATGTCCGAACGAGGCTCGTTCCGAGGTGGTGGTGGTCGTGGCCGCGGCGGAGGTTATGCCCGGGGCGGTCAGCGCAGTGGCGGTGCAGGTGGCGGTACGGGCCAGCCACATCAGCAACAGCAGGAGAGGCCCAAGAAGGAGAATATCCTTGATCTGTCCAAATATATGGACAAGGAAGCTAAGGTGAAGTTCAGCGGTGGTCGTGAGGGTAAGCTTACCTAAAGTGTATTACATGCCATGCATAGGGCTAATGGATCTAGTGACGGGAACGCTCAAAGGCTACGATCAGCTTATGAACCTGGTTTTGGATGATGTTAAGGAGTCTATGCGCGGTAAGAACACTCTGCAATTATTTCACGGCTATTCCCTGACAGTGTTTAGATGACGAGGGCAACGAGACGACTCGTGCCCTCGGGTTGATCGTGGCTCGCGGCACCTTGATCGTGCTGATTTCGCCCGCCGATGGTAGCGAGGAAATTGCCAATCCTTTTGCCCAGCAAGAGGAGTAAGCACGTGCTCTCTTTTTCATCATGCTTTTACTCTCAAGTCAGGAACCGGTGCTTCCGGTATTCTTCCCCCCCCTGTTCAATCCGCAAGACGAGGCGCGGTAGCAATCATCATAGCTAGAGTAATGATTGGCTGCTATCTGCGTCTTTCCATCACAGCATTATCCTTTATGCCATAGCTGGCAGTCCTACGCCAATAATGATCATACGGAACGATTGAAAATGAGACACGTCCTCCCTCATGTATGTTTTGTTGGTTGTGTTACATAATACATAGAGCGCAATCTTATCTATGATTGAATGGAATAAAATATGCAAAACATCATTTCCGTTATTATATGCATATCTGACATACATGCATTATTTATGCCGTTTCTTCTCACAATTGCATCATATGAAGTCGCCATTTGCCGTTTCGTCATCGCATGTTCGCTTCCGTGCTCGCTTCGGGACACCAATACGAGTACGAGATTGCGATATGGGCTGATAAGTATAAATGATGCCCTCGCTGACTGGCTCAAGGTTCTTTTTTCTTACTGTAGAATATGCACTTACTGTAGATAACTATTATTATTGGATACATTTCCCTCATTATGAAACTCCTTCACCTGCTGCCCGTCCTCCCCCTCAGCATGGCGTATGTCATCCCATCCGAAGAGGTCCTCGAGGATCTAAACATCAACAAAATCAACAAGGAAAAGACCCATTTTACCCAGAAAAAAAACATTCAAAATGCTCTAGATAATGCTCTCGACTCCTTCAGCGTGAATAAGCCCAAAATCGACTCCGATTCCCGAATCGACACCTGGATCAACCGTCTCAAGGACTACGCCCTGGATTCCATCCAGGACGACGACATTGACGGACAAGAATATACAGTCAATGGCAACAACGAAGACATAATCGACAGCAACTTCCCCTTCCCCATCCCACGCCTCCCCTTCTCAAAGCACCACCACCACGGAGACTCCGACAAAACCATCTACCAACTCATCTCCTCAAGCAAATATACAACTAATCTTACCAAAATAATCGACGAAGACGAATCCCTCGTCCACCTCCTCAACAATACGAGTCATAACTTCACCCTCTTCGCACCCACGGACGACGCCTTCGCTAAACTCCCGCCTCATCTTCCCGAGTTGCCCAAGGAATTGATCCGTTCTGTGCTGCGCTACCATCTCGCTGCGGGCGTTTATCCAGCACTAGACATCTTCCACCACCAGACTCTGCCGACGTTGTTGAATGAGACTGCATCTGGACATGAACTCCCGCAGAGAGTCGCCGTTCGTCCTGGATGGAAGGGCCTCAAGGTTAACCACTACAGTCGCCTGGTGGCCGTTGATATTGTACGTCCCCAAACCCTACTACTTACCCAACCAAAATAAGATACTAACGAAATAGGCCGCCTCAAACGGCCTGATACACGGCATCGACTCCATCCTCCTCCCACCCCCACCAGCCCTCTCCCTCTTCACCATTGTCCCCACCCAATTCAGCACCTTCACACTCGGCCTCCTAAAAACCGGCCTCGCCGCCATCCTTGAAGATGCAGATAAACGCGTCACCATCTTCGCCCCCTCCAACAAAGCCTTCGAGCACCTAGGCCTGCATATCAACGCCTTCCTCTTCTCACACCACGGCACCAAGTATCTCCGTGCGCTACTACAGTATCACATCGTCCAGAACCGGACGCTCTACTCAGACGTGTTCTACACGTCTGATGGCCAGATCCGTGAACTTGGTACCAAGGGCTATACGCATCTTGATTTGCCGACGTTGTTGGGTGAGAAAGGACGGCCCGGGCTGGCGGTTGATGTTTCAAGGTTTGGGGCGCATACGTTGATTAAATTGAATGGGAGCCGGAAGGTTGCGTTTGCGGATGCGCTCGCGAGAGATGGGGCTGTGCATATTTTGGATCATGTTTTGGTTCCACCGTGCAAGTATCGAGGTGATGTTGCTGATGAGGATCGGGATGAGGATGAGTTGACTGTTGAGGACTTAAAGGATCGGTTGAGTGACTGGGTTGTCGATGACGTTCCTGGCAACATCTGGGGCCATGACGGTGAGCTTTAGTTCTCTCCGTTCCGTGCCTCAAGAAGGGCAGCATACTGGTAAAGGCTGTTCAATTGCCGTTTCTTTGAATTCTCGCCGGACTACAAAACCGACATTAAAAGTATATAATGCAAGATGAATTGAAGATTGAATATATTTCCTAAGATATTTTTTGTATCTTTCTGTAAGCAGAATTCTCCGAAGCATATCTCGTACATCGTTGGCCTGTGGTGCCATAGATAAATCCTAACTTCAAATAAACGAGACCAGGACCACACCGGCCAAAGTCTTGAATCTCCAGACACCTCACTTTCTCAGACCAAGATGCTGCTCCAAAATAACCACGACAGTGGGCCAGACAATATTGTCTGTCTTGGCCGCTCCTAGCATATATAGTATTCCTCTCGCTGAAATGAAGCAAGAACAAAAGGAAAAAGAGGCAAGTCATCATAATTAAGCCATGTATCCAAGAGTCCCGAGTGTTATATCACCAACCAATTCAAGGGAGCCTCCTTCCCGGCTTCATCAATGCCTGGAAAGACGATTCAAAAGCCTTTTTGAGCTCCTTATAGCTGACGACAAAGCAGCTTTGCTCATCCCGACTCACCAGGGTAATTCTTTCGTCCGATCCCGCATCCAACTTGTTCAAGCATGCGAGCACATGGCCGAGGTCGACAACTGGATCTCCTTGGGCATCCACCTGATGGAAAACAAAATCTCGGAAGAGTTTCAAGAAATATCGCTCCCCATTCTCGGACCATTGCCGATCGTGGTCATATTCGGGTCGCTCGTTGATGAGATTCAATTTCGTCATCAACCGTACAAGGCGACCGTTCTCAAGCTCACGGCTAAGATCTGATGTGAGCTGATCATCCAAATGGAGGGACGAATCGAATGTCGACATTAGCTGCGATGAGATTCCGGTGATGAAAACGTCAATGCTCCGCTCTTGATCCTTTTGCATGCCGTTCAATAACCAAAATACCGAATTCTTCAGCTGTGGCGTGTAGGCACGCGTGAAATGTTCCATAGCCCTAGTAGGATTACCCATGACACTTGGCGAGTTTGCTCCTAGGGTGATGATCAACTGCCCCAAGTTGACCAGATCTTGGCGTTGAAGGTCCGTAACCGATCGCTGAGCTTCATACTGGACCACGTCCATGATAGCGCACGCATTCAAGCGAACGCGATTTTTGGCTGTCAAAAGAATCTTACTGGGTTCGATGATTCTCGCAGCAAGCCCATTACTGTGGATAGCCTTCAACGCGTTTGCGAGTTGGGTCATGTAACTCCAAAGCACCTGCTCAGGAATGTGTGCAGGATGCCGAGTTTGAAATCTGTTCCCAGCCCCAAGGTGTTGTTCTGCAAGTGTCTTTGAGAGAGGGTGGTAGTCTGTGACAAAAATGAGCGAGCTATCTTGAAAGCTCCGGCTTGTGAAAGCATCGTGAATTGTCACTACGCTGCCATTGCACACTCGCTTCCATGCCTGAACAGATCGGATGGCCTTTTCATTCGTCAAACGGAAGCCTTCTAATCTCCGAAGAGCATAGAAATTCCCATCCTTGCTGGACTGCGCTTTGTATACCCAACTCGGGAAACCAAAAGTGGTTGCATTCTTTTGGTGGTTCAGGTCCAATGGAACAAGGGAATGGAAATAATCGACTTGAGCGGGCAATTGGGTGTCTGGTCTGAAATTAGTCGCCTGTCATATATCGAGTGAAGTGAGATAAACGCACTGGGAAGCATCTGCAACGTTGCGGCTGCTTTCTTCTGTAGCTCTTCTCGGAAGTCATTAGGGAGAAAAATGTCATGAACGTTGCGCTGATAGCCCAAGGTATTTTGGTTATGTGGTCCGATAGGAGCATAAAGATGATATTGTACCTGCGAAGCGTTAGACCAATCTAGGAAGACAGATGGAATACCGGCCTACTGGTTGCTGAAATCCACTTTGGTTTGCAAAGAAAGCCGCGCCATTCAATGCAGCAGCTGTAGCAGCAGCAGCAGCAGTGTCTGGTGAATATGGGTTTCCAGGAACAGTACCCACACCTGCACCCGGAAGGGGAGCCGGGGCCGTTACAAAAGGATCAAATGCAGCCGTAGTAGCGAGACCATTGGTACCAGTTCCTTGAAGGGGAGTCTGGGTGATTGAGTTAGCGTGAGATCTCCCGGAACCAAGACACATATCTGAAGTAGGCAAATTGCCCGGTTGAAAATAAGGATATGTGAAGTGCGATAACGATTGGGTGAACACCAAATAAGAGGAAGGACCGAAGTTATCAGCAACAACGTTTGGGCTCCGAAAAGTGCCACTATGAGTATCACCGGATACCCTGGGAGCATCTATTCTCCAGTGCTGAAACCAGAATGTCGCTCGAATGCTTTGCTTGCTTGAATCACCGCGAGAGGGACAATCCAGGGATCCAAAGCTCTGCGTGACACGAGCAATTCGACTGGGAAGGAGCGACCCATTCACATGATGCAGGATGGACGGGACAACAACCGGAAAAGGAAAGTGCTATCTTACCATAGGAGGGGCTTCAAAGCCTTGTGGGACAAACTCCTGAGCTTCTGCTACAGTCCAATCAGGGGTTTGGGTGTCTTGACGAGAGCTTGGGGTGCTTGAATTAGAACCTTTTTTCCAGTCAGCTAACCGATTCTGCTTTCAATCAGGATATGACGACGGCATACGCGATGAGACAGTCCTAGGCTGGAACGGGGCAGCGTTCGCAGCTTTTGGTGATATAGTTGCCGATACTTTCTTCGTGGGTGTCGTTGATCCATTTGTAGACAGTAGAGAAGGAGTGAAGCTGGGAGAATCGACATTGAATCGTTTTCTGTTGCCATTACTAAAGACCGCACGTCAGCCACTAGCCATTCTTTAAGTTGTAGTTTCACGAGTCATCGGATGAAACCAGCTGAGAGGGTATCCCAACCTGTCGAAGTTGTTCGCGGGGTTCAGTTTTTGTGGATCGTGATTGAAAGCGCAGCCTGGAGACAGCATATGCAAAGGTTAAATTGTACCCATAACTGCCGATATGAACGGTAGACCAGGGGATTCGCGCACCTTTATCTTCATAGCGACATCGGCCGTAGATGGTAACGTTCCGACATAGGGTGTCCTTGGCATTCTCTGGGTACACTACTTCATTAGTACATTCAGCCATGAACATCCGAACAACAGCAGCAATTGCCAGAAAGTGATCAAAACCACACTCACCTCGTGACTTAGGTTTGGGCGACCCCATTCCGCGACGGGAATCTTCCGTACTAGACTTCCCCATGGAAGCCATCGCATGTAACAGTAGTTGTATTTTCGGTGTGATGCGGCTCAGCGCAGAGAGATCTCCATTGAAATCAAGTAGAGGAAAACCGGGCGAACGAGCGAAATTAGAGGAAGCCACATTCCCTCATCGAAAAAGGTTAACGCGATAGCGGTTGCACTGGAGATGAAGTCGGTGCTGAGATTCACTGCCGCTAGGGCAGATAGCCAAGGACGGGTTGAATGGGAGCTTCTTTAAATGAACTATGCTCCCCCCAGATTCCAAAACGATATATGATCAAAAATAGAAGAAAATACCAATAAGGGAAAAGTAACAGTTGGACGACAGCAGCGTCGATGCCACTTCACGCCATGGGGTACAAGCCGAAGGGCGGAGGAGAGGCAGCGAGGGATCGAATGTCCGCGGGGAGGGGAGCCTAATGCCTGGTGGTGCACGTGCCGGGATATAGGCGCTAAGCGCGCGGCTATCACGTCACACGGCATTGAGCTTCAGGGTAAGAGGACAGCTTACGGTACTTCCTCGATTCACGCTTGCATTTTCCAACAAAGTCATAGGCGACTTTTTGTAACGCGTCGCTTCACTCAATCCTTTATTTTTTTTTATGCCACTTGCGTTCAGTCAGTCAGGACCGTTCGTTATCTCTTGAGATAAGGTCGTATATCGGAGCCTCGGAGTTGGAGGATCGTCCTGAATCCTGGTTACTTTTATGGATTTCCCACAATAATTTAAAATGTCTTCCTCTGGGATTGACATTTCTCAATTCTCCGATAGCGAGAGGGCTGCTCTTGAAACCTACACGGCGGTTACAAGCCAGGATGTATCCGAAGCTATTCCTCTGTTGCGCCGCTCGCAATGGAACGTGCAGGTTAGTATTGGCAAGCTTCTTGGAGGCATCCTATGGGAAGCAGAAGTACTGACATATATAAAGATTGCTGTCTCCAAATTTTTCGATGGTGAAGGTCCAGACCCCATTGAAGAAGCTCGCGCTGCCCTCGATAACCCTCCACCGGCACGACCGACACGACAGACACAGAACCTCATGAGCGAAGATTTGTCTGCTGGGCGTTTCTCCCCGGTCGCGGAAGCAGCCCCTCGAGTACATACTCAACCAGAACAACAACCAGTCTACCGCCCTCCGTTCCTACTGGCTCTACTGTTCGCCCCGTTTAATCTTATTTACCGGTTACTCACCAGCTCCTTCCGTCTCTTCGGAACGCTGTTTCCATTCCTCCCACGATTCTTCAACCTCACCGCGAACCCTACTCTTCAGGGAGCTCGACGGAACACTACAGGACGCAGGGCTTTGAGTCCACAGGACACGGCGGCTCGATTCATCCGGGAATTTGAGGAAGAGTATGGCACTCAATCTGTGAGCTTCTTGGAGAATGGATACAACATGGCATTGGAGAAGGCCCATCGGGAATTGAAGTTCCTGCTTGTGGTTCTTTTGTCTCCAGAGCATGACGATACAAGCAGCTGGGTACGGGACACGCTTCTTTCACGCGAGGTGATGGATTTCATCAATGATCCACAGAATGGGATCATTGTTTGGGGAGGCAACGTGCAGGATTCTGAGGCATACCAAGTCAGCCACTCTTTGCGTTGTACCAAGTTCCCCTTTGCTACGCTGGTTGTCCACACGCCCAACGTTTCTTCAAGCGCCATGTCCATTGTCTCCAGAATCTCAGGGACATCGTCACCGTCTGAATTTGTGGAGAAGCTACGAACGGCTATTTCTCAAAACAGGGAGCCCCTGGAACAGACCAGGACCACTCGTTCTGAGCAACAAGCTTCACGTAGCCTTCGAGAAGAGCAGGACTCGGCATACGAACGTTCGTTGGCAATTGACCGGGAACGGGCTCGACAACGGCGGGAAGCAGAGGCGGAACAACGCCGCCAAGAGCAAGAAGCAGCAGAACGACAAGCGACAGAGGAGAAAATACGTCGTGATCACCAGCAATGGAAGCATTGGAGAGCACAGTCGATCCAGGATGAGCCTGGCACTGACGTCAAAGAAGCCGTGCGCATCAGTGTTCGACTTACATCGGGTGAACGGGTAATCCGCAGATTTTCACCTGAGCTGGATATTGAAGAGCTTTACGCTTTTGTGGAGTGCTATGATGTCTTGCAGGATGCAGAGCAGATGGCTAGGGGTGGCAAGAAACCGGAGGGGTTTGAGCATAAATACGGATTCCAGTTAGTATCTCCTATGCCTCGAACTGTTTATGAGGTTGAAGCCGGGGGCTCGATTCGGGACAATATTGGTCGCGGCGGCAACTTGCTGGTGGAAATTGTTGACGACGATGACAACGAAAGCGACGGCGAACAAGAAGAGGCATAGTCATAGAATTACATGGGATGGACCACTGTACAATCCATAGATGGGTTTTAGGCCAATAGCATTATTATGGACTGATCCCGTGCTCCACAATCTGGAACTGGATCTCCACGAGTTATGAACCATGCCATTATCAATATGAACAGGCTAGAAACCAGATCAAGATCTTTAAATAGTAGTAATATTACTACAGGTAACAATGCTGTTCTTTGGATTGTTCTCATAACTAATGCTCTACATATCTTGCCTGAGATGTGATAATATGACCATACTATTATTTATACTAATAATATCTAACTCTGCACGCTAAGCTTTACATCAGAATGACTGAGATTAAGTTGACGGGAAATAATGATCAAATTACTGTGCTTTAAAATCGGAGCTGCTCGTGTTCTAGACTCCGAGCATTAACCGAACATAACTGAGCCAGGCAGCCTTATGCACTACAATGCACGTGGAATTCGGATCTGTACGACTCCGACCCCGGGCTTGGGACGGACCCCTTTTTATTTTCATGACTCCGCCGGGACTCGGGATTCCACCAGTCCGTCCCACCGTCAAGTCCACGCTAGTCCTATTCCGGTAAACAATATCGTTTAACCTGCTGCCACGTCGGAACTATTCCTGAAGGGGTTAGAGCTACCGGTAATTTATGCAAAGAAGGACGTGGGTGTCAAGTACTGGATCCACTTATGCAGTTTATTCATGCTCGTATCGATCGAGCTTTTTCAGATGAGTGCATTATTGTTACGGAGGATTACGGAGGATTGGGTGCATATGTCGTTATGCGTGCGCATAATACTTCCGAGACGTTAGCTGTACAAATAGTACTATGTACGGAAAACGTAGTGACCTTAACTAGTAGTATTCTGATAGCAAATGCTGTATGGTACTCTGTACTCTGTAATGCTATAAGCAAAGACAAAGAAAGACTGGAGCTATCACGGGTCAGAGCACGTATCCGGAGCGGATTGAAAGCCTCCCGCGTTCCCGATTAAGTACTTGCTAAAATCTTCCGGAACGATGCTTGAAACGCCTTTGGATACAATGGGCCCGGAACCGAGCTTTCATGCACCCCGATTGGCTCGTGGCCATGGAAACTCTGATATTCTAAATATACGAGAATACGCGTGGGGCATGAGGTTTTGTATATTATCCCTCTCGCCCTCATTTCTCTCCAAATGCTTCCGCTTCTATCTCTCTTCGTATATGCTGCTCTTAGGCTTCATGCTTGCCTAATACGTTAATGCTGTCTTACGTTAAATTAATACCTAATCCTAATAATCTTTTCCCCCATGAGCATCGACTACTAATTCGCCTAATCCTAATCTCGTCGACCTGAGACGCTCGTCTCATTCGTCTTTCCTCGCTCCTCCCCGACCTCTACCTCTCTTTACTCGTTATGTCATCCTCGGGGTCGCCAAGCCCTGTGTCTACTCCGGTATTAGATGTACCAAAATCCGACACCCCAGATTGCCCCAGCTTCAGCACAGGCGACACGAAGGTGGAACAACAACGCGAGATGAACAAGGAAGATCAGGCCGAACGCGAAGTGACTCGACTGGCACAGCAGCTGACACGCCAATCGACGCACTACTCGACGTCAACAAGCCTGGAGAACCCGTTTCTTGATGCAGTGGAGGGCTCAGCGTTGAACCCCCACGGAGACAACTTCAAAGCGCGCGATTGGATGAAGAACCTGTTGGCATTAACTTCCCGGGATCCTGAGAGATTTCCTCAGCGAGCGGCGGGTATTTCGTTTAAGAACATGAGCGTGCACGGTTATGGTAGTCCTACAGATTATCAGAAGGATGTGTTCAACTCGGTTCTTCAGATCGGCCATCTTTTCCGTCTCGTTACTGGTACCGGAAAGCAGAAGATTCAGATCTTGCGCAACTTTGATGGTCTCGTCAAGAGTGGTGAAATGCTGGTTGTTTTGGGACGGCCTGGAAGGTATACAGAACTACCCACTAAGGTGAAACTTCGAGGAACCACGCTAACAAATGTATTAGTGGCTGCTCAACCTTGTTGAAGACCATGGCCGGTGAGATGAATGGTATCTATATGGATGAATCCTCCCATTTGAGTTACCAAGGTACGACGCCCCGTCACATACTCATTACTGAATTGATTGACTGACTTCAAAACAGGGATTCCCGCAAAGCAAATGCGCAACCAATTCCGTGGTGAAGCCATTTATACTGCCGAAACCGATGTCCATTTCCCCCAACTTTCTGTTGCCGACACTCTGAAGTTCGCCGCGTTGGCTCGATGCCCCCGGAACCGTTTACCCGGCGTCTCGAAGGATCAGTATGCAGAGCACATGCGAGATGTTGTCATGGCTATGCTTGGTCTCTCGCACACCATCAACACTCAAGTCGGAAACGATTTTGTTCGTGGTGTCAGTGGTGGTGAACGGAAACGTGTTAGTATCGCTGAGGCAACTCTCAGCGGTAGTCCTATCCAATGCTGGGACAATAGTACCCGTGGATTGGATAGTGCCAACGCACTCGAGTTCTGCAAGACCCTGAACCTGATGACCAAATATGCCGGCACTACTGTCGCTGTTGCCATATACCAGGCCTCCCAGAGCGCTTACAATATCTTCGACAAGGTGACAGTCCTCTATGAGGGTCGCCAAATCTACTTTGGCCGCACTGATGAGGCAAAGTCATTTTTCACCGACATGGGTTTTGAATGCCCTGACCGTCAGACAACTGCCGATTTTTTGACTTCCCTGACCAGTCCTTCTGAGCGTATCGTGAAGAAGGGCTATGAAGGCAGGGTCCCTCAGACGCCCGATGAGTTCGCTGAGCGCTGGAAGAATAGCGAGGCGTATGCCAAATTGATGAGGGAAATTGATGAATATGAGCTCGAGTATCCGCTGGGAGGCCAATCGGTGGCCAAGTTTACTGAAGCCCGTAAAGCGATGCAGGCAAAGAGCCAGAGGATCAAGTCTCCGTACACCGTGTCCGTAAACGAGCAGATCCGTCTCTGCATGATTCGGGGTTTCCAGCGTTTGAGAGGTGATGCCAGTTTGACTTTGAGTCAGCTTATCGGTAACTTCATCATGGCCTTGATTATTGGAAGTGTCTTCTACGACTTGCAACCCACCACCAACAGTTTTTATTCTCGTGGAGCACTGCTTTTCTTTGCTGTTTTGCTTAACGCTTTCTCTAGTGCGCTTGAAGTGAGTTGGTCTTTTAATGAGTGCGAGAAACTTGATACTAACATGACCAGATTTTGACTCTGTATGCCCAACGTCCCATTGTTGAAAAGCAAGCTCGCTACGCCATGTACCATCCGTTTGCCGAAGCCGTGGCCTCGATGCTGTGCGACATGCCCTACAAGATACTCAATGCGATCATTTTCAACATCACGTTGTACTTTATGACCAACCTGCGTCGTGAACCCGGTGCTTTCTTCATCTTCCTGCTCTTCTCGTTCGTTACCACTCTGACCATGTCAATGCTTTTCCGTACGATGGCTGCATCCTCCAGGACCCTATCCCAAGCCTTGGTGCCTGCTGCCATCCTCATTCTCGGGTTGGTTATCTACACCGGTTTCACGATCCCTACAAGGAACATGCTTGGCTGGTCTCGCTGGATGAACTACATTAACCCAATCGCATATGGCTTTGAAAGCTTGATGGTTAACGAGTTTAACAACCGGCCATTCAAGTGTCTTCCATCCGGAATGGTCCCTACCGACTTGCAATACACCAATATGCCTCTGGAGAACAAAGTCTGCTCCACAGTGGGTGCTGTTGCCGGTTCCGACATTGTCCAAGGAACCGACTACCTTAACCAGAGTTTCCAGTACTATGCTTCCCACAAGTGGAGGAACTTGGGTATCATGTTCGGTTTCATGATCTTCTTCATGGCAACCTACCTTATCGCCAGCGAGTTCATTTCCGAGGCCAAGTCTAAGGGTGAAGTGCTTCTCTTCCGCCGTGGACACGCTCCCCGTCACCAAAGCGATGACATCGAAAATACCTCCTATGCAATCTCTGGAGAAAAGACAGACGAGGCTAGCGGAAAGGAGGTCACTGCAGGTATCCAGAGACAAGAAGCGATCTTCCACTGGCAGGACGTATGCTACGACATCAAGATCAAAAGTGAACCGCGCCGAATTCTCGATCACGTTGATGGCTGGGTCAAGCCGGGTACTTGCACTGCGCTGATGGGTGTTTCCGGTGCCGGTAAAACGACGCTTCTGGATGTGCTCGCTACTCGCGTAACTATGGGTGTTGTTACTGGTGAGATGTTGGTTGACGGCCGTCCCCGAGACCAGTCTTTCCAGCGGAAGACTGGTTACGTGCAGCAACAAGATCTCCATCTTCACACCACGACTGTGCGTGAAGCTTTGCGCTTCAGTGCCGTTCTCCGCCAGCCCGCCCATGTCAGTAACCAGGAAAAGCTCGACTATGTTGAGGAGGTGATCAAGCTCCTTGGGATGGATTCGTATGCGGATGCCGTTGTTGGTGTCCCTGGTGAAGGTCTCAACGTCGAGCAGCGGAAGCGTCTTACTATCGGTGTTGAGCTGGCAGCTAAGCCCCAGCTTCTTCTGTTCCTTGACGAGCCTACTTCTGGTCTTGACAGTCAGACTTCTTGGTCCATTCTCGATCTCATTGACACTCTCACCCAGCACGGACAGGCTATTCTCTGTACTATCCACCAGCCGTCGGCCATGCTCTTCCAGCGTTTCGATCGCTTGTTGTTCCTCGCCAAGGGTGGTAAGACTGTCTACTTCGGTGATATCGGAGAAGAGTCCTCTACTCTTTCCAGCTACTTTGAGCGAAACGGTGCCCCGAAGCTGCCTCCTGGCGCGAACCCTGCTGAATGGATGCTTGAAGTCATTGGTGCTGCTCCCGGATCTCACAGCGAAATCGACTGGCCGGCTGTTTGGCGCGATAGCCCTGAACACCAGGGAGTGCTCGACCACTTGGCTGAATTGAAAACGACTCTCCCGCAGAAATCTGTTGAGTCGCCCAATGCCGATCCCACCAGTTATAACGAATTTGCCGCTTCCTTCCCCGTGCAGCTCTGGGAATGCCTCGTCCGTGTCTTTTCGCAATACTGGCGCAGCCCGGTGTACATCTACTCCAAAGCATGCCTGTCTATCCTCACGTCCTTGTACATCGGTTTCTCGTTCTTCCAAGCAGAGAACACCCAACAGGGTCTCCAGAACCAAATGTTCAGTGTTTTCATGCTCCTCACCATCTTCACCAACCTGGTCCAGCAAATCCTCCCCAACTTCTGCACTCAGCGCTCTCTCTACGAAGTCCGCGAGCGCCCCTCAAAAACCTACTCCTGGCAATCCTTCATGACCGCCAACATCCTCGTCGAAATCCCCTGGAACACCCTCATGGCCGTCATCATCTTCGTCTGCTGGTATTATCCAATCGGCCTGTACCGCAATGCAGAGCCCAACAACGCCGTCCATGAACGCGGTGCCCTCATGTTCCTCCTCGTCTGGAGCTTCCTCCTCTTCACTTCGACCTTCGCACACATGATCATTGCCGGTATCGAACTCCCAGAGACGGGAAGCAACCTCGCCAACCTCCTCTTCTCCCTCTGCCTCATCTTCTGTGGTGTCCTCGCCACTCAGGATCAACTCCCCGGCTTCTGGATCTTCATGTACCGCGTCTCCCCATTCACATACCTCGTCTCCGCAATGTTGTCCACCGGTGTATCCGGCAGCAATGCTGTCTGTGAGAAAGTCGAGTTCCTAAACTTCGACCCGCCCTCGAACATGACCTGCCAGTCCTACATGCAGGACTACATCAAGAAATATGGCGGTTATCTGCAGAACATGGATGCCACGAGTAACTGCAACTTCTGCAGCATCGACAAGACGGATAGCTTCTTGGCCAAGATCCATGCATCTTACGGCGATGCGTGGAGGAATTTTGGATTCATGTGGGTGTACATTGCGTTCAACATCGCTGCCGCGGTTTTTATCTACTGGCTCGCGCGTGTGCCCAAGGGGAAGAAGGGTACTGCTTAAGCTGAGTCATCCCAAAGGAAAAAAAAAAAAAAAAAAAAACCAAGAAAAAGGAATTGTCTTGTATGATGAATAATGGTGTTTATGGTGTTTCCTTTGTTATACAAAGATTTATGGTTTATGTTTTCTTTATTTTGTCATATGTCTCTTTGGGCGGATTTCTATAGCGTATACATGTTTGGTTAGATAATATTTATATTCTACCTGGGGTTGAAATGGCTTTGCCTTTATACTCACTCCCTTTTCTTTTGTTGGATCTAGCGGAGTTGAATTATCTTTCATTTCAACCATTGTACTTGAGGATTTAAATAACAATTGACAACAGATAATAATACCAATCCCCAATCCTTCTGGGACAGTGGAATAGAGCACTTTGCAACTCATTCTTCTTCCTACATACAACTTTCCCTGATCAGGATATTCTATCAGATATCATATCAAATTAGCAATGGCGCTTTATGAGCCAAGAGCATGCACTGTCTGTGGCATCTAATCAGCGCCAGTAAGACAAATGCCCTTCAAAACTATTGCAAAAGCTGTAAAGCTGTGGTCGGTAATGGACATGATAAGATGAAGCTCAAATGGCTACGCATCGCGATAGATAGATGGCAGTCCCGAATTCCTGACTCATGAATACAAAATAATGATAGCCCAAATAAAACAAAACCAATATCCTTGGGTATTGTACAATCTCGTCAAAAATATCCTCCATAATAAGCATATACCAGAAGCAAATAAACAAGATGGATGCAGGTCCAATCTCATCACCGAAACCAGTCGGTAACACAACGCTGAAAATCATTATATCGACATATCCCATCCATAGAAACCAAAAGTTAAACCGTTATATAAAGGCATGAAATGATGAAGGCAGAAAGGAATAAACAAGCTGGCGCATTTGATCAGCAATGAACGGGATTAATATCCATCCATCTCAACATCCTCCCGGCGGCGCAGAAAAGTCGCCTCCTCAAAGTCGTCAACATCCATACTCTGCCCAGCAATCCGGTTCTGGTTCTTCAACGCAATAAACCGCCGTCTCTGCTGCCCCAGGGAGGGCGCAAGAATAGTCCGATGAGAGGCGTCATAAGGACTCTCAAACTCATCATCCAAGTCATCAGAGGTATATGACCGCTTTTGTCCGTTGTACGAGGTAAATGATCCCTGACTACTCGAGGGGAGCGAATAAGCATCATTCTCGTCGGTGACGGGGTCATGCTCATTCATCGCAGAAGGACGCGAGAACGCTTGCACGGTCAAATCTTCTATCTTCGAGTATCCGCAGAAGGGCGGGAGTTCTGCATGGTTTACACCATTAGCAGTTGTAGTAGGGGCAGCAGCAGCAGCCAACTGCTTCTCCAATTCTTTTTGCGTCTTGTATCCCTCCGCAACGGATTTTCGGACGCGCATACCAACGCTCAACAACGAGGACTGCACCTTCGCAGGAACGACGGGTGTGGGCGAGCATGTGGCAGCGGAGTAGTGGTAATGAGAGACACGAGGTGTAGCACCGTTATCGTCATGGTCGTTAACGTTCGCGGTAGGAGTTGGGCCAGAGAAGAACGAGGTGATGGGAGGCTGGAAGCGTCTGCGCTTGGTGGTGTCTTTTGTGATGTGTTGGATGGACATTTTTCTTGTAATTTTCTTTTTTCCTTTTTTCCTTTTTTTTTCCTTTTTTTTTTTTTT